CAGGTTAATCCTCTGTTCAGACTCTTGATTCCCCCACCTTTCTTTAGAAGAGAAGGCATATCTCTAGTATTCAGGTGAGTTAACATAATGACTGGGTCCACATGAAATATTAACATTCATCCCTTGCTATTTTTCAGCTCTGTAAGAATAAAAATGCATGGGAAAAATCTGGCAGTGTCTTGCAGAGACTGTAACAAGCCTTTGTCAGCAGAAGGGAAAGTGGCTTCAGGAAAAAACAGCTCCCAGCAATTGCGGCGGTCATTACCATCACCACCGCCACGGGAGCCTCTGTAGCGGCGCTGGCTGCGGGCCTGGGAGACGGCGCCACGGACTGGAGTCGGAGCCACTGACTGACCGCTTCAGCAACATGTCTTGTATCCCAGATGACATGGAGGACTGTTGTAAGTGCCAAAGTATCCCGACAGGGGTTTCTCCAGACCTCCTAAACATCAGACACTTCTGAGCTTCCGTCACCGCGACATGCCTGATCACAGTCATGTGATGGCAAGTGAGGTACTGGGACCCCGCTGGCCTCCAACTGAATGGGCTTTTAATGGCACACTCTCTCAAGCTGACTTTTTTTTGTCCCGTAAAGTTGGTTTTCTGCACTCATGAATTGGTGTGAATATCTTTGATATCATTTTCTGAATTATTCACGGGTCTGGTGGCTTTCTAGCGCACACTTCTCCTGTTTTCTTGGCTGACCCTGATGGCAAAAATACCCGTTGGCTTGTCCATGATCAGTGTTAAATTTGGCTCAAAAAAGGTCCCTGAAACATGGCGAACTTGCATAGAGGACAACAGCCAAGTCCGAACTGTGTATTCACAAGATGGCCCAGTATTCCCCTATCACCAGAGATGCTAAAGCTGAGCAGGACCGTGTGGGTTCCCCATTCCTTGTTTGTAGGGGACAGACTCCAGCCTCCATGACCTTCCCTGAGTTCCAAAGAGCAGATTCAAACAGTTGTTAATCAGAGAAGGGAGGGGAAGCAGAGACAAGGGGGGAGACCACCTGAGTCCAGAGCAAAGCAGCGCAGGCCCTGCCTGCACCTTGACCCTGATGAGCAACCCTGCCCCCGAACCACCGCTACAGAACTCCTCCTCATTCCTGCTGGGCTGGGACGCGCAGTCTTGAAGCATAAGCTCATTGTGTCCCCCTCTGCCTGGCGAAGCAATAAAGCCATTTTCTACTTCACCCAAAACTCTGAGATTCGACTCAGCAATGGTGCACAGAGGCTGAGTTTCCAGCATCCAGAGTGATCAGAATCAGGCCAGTAAAGGGGTGGACCAGGCAGGTGACTCCAATGCCCAGACCGGCTGGACCGGGACAGGAGGGGCCGCTGGGCCCTTGTTTAAGCCAGCTCCCTCCCTGAAGGGTGTGGGATGAAAGGACGCTCATTCTCGAAGAACCAGTCAGACCAGCTTTTTTTAAGTTCTTAGTTTCATATTTGATAGAGGTGTTTCACCATTAACAAACCAGATAAAGGATGAGGAGACCTTCCTCAGTTCTTTGATGGGGGAAGGTCTTGAATCTCAGAAAAGGGAAAGAAAACATTGATCTTGATGGGCTTTGGCTCTGACATGAGACACATGGTTAAATCAAACACACAGAGCAGATGGAGAAATCAGGGGATTCCAAGCTGTCACTCCCAAACCTACTAGTCGCTCAGCTGTGTTCAACTCTTTGCGACCCCATAGACTAGCTTGCCAGGCTCCTCTGTCCATGGAATTCTCCAGCCAAGAGTACTGGAATGGGTTGCCATTTCCTTCTCCAGGGGATCTCCCCAACTCAGGGATGGAACCCAGGTCTCTCATATTGCAGGTGGATTCTTTACCATCTGAGTCTGGTTTCTCACTTGGGGTTCATTTTAAACTATTAGAGAACATCTGTTAATTTTGAGGTATGATGTTATTATGTCAGTAATATTCATCTTCTGGGGCTTCCCTGGTGGCTCAGTGGTGAAGGATTTTCCTGCCAATGCAGGAGATAGGAATTCGATCCCTGGGTCCAGGATCTCCTGGAAAAAGAAATGGCAACCCACTCCAGTATTCTTGCCTGGAGAATCCCATGGACAGAGGAGCCTGGCAGGGTATAGTCCATGGGGTCACAAACAGTCGGACATGACTGAGTGACTAAACAACGATGATTCATCTTTCGGCTGAGGAATGCTTTAGGGGAGTCCTATGGCAGCTCAAGCAGGAATCTGGAGATGCCTCAAACTTCGTCTGTTGGGGCCGCTGGGAGGAGGACAAGAGGGAGTCCATCGTGAAGACAGTCAGCCATCTTAAGGCAGGATGTGAACTGGGACTGAACCCTGTTAACCATTGTTAAAGAAAAACTAGGTTCCCCTCCTCACAGACAGCAAACGAAGATTGGAAGTAAAGGTCAGGTTGTCTCAGTTAGATTAACGACTGAGCAACTTTCACTTCCAACCAGTTATGTAGTGGAGGGTATAAAACCAAGTCCTCCAAAATCATCGGGGTCCTTGTTGGGAACCGATTCCCCTTGGACCTGCTAGCATAATAAACTATACTCCACTGTCTTGAGTGTCTTCTGAGGAGTGTTTTGTGACTCTGGATTCTACAACAAGTCAAGATGAGAGAAGTGGGCTTCCCTAGTGGCTAGTGGTAAAGAATCCACCTGCCGGTGCAGGAGACACGAGTTTGACCCCTGACCTGGGAACATGCACATGCTTGGAGCAATGGAGCTCCTGAGCCACGGTCCTGGCTACTTAGAGCCAGTACTCAGCAACCAGAGACTCCCCGCAATGAGGAGGCTGTGCACTGCACTTAGAGAGCAGAACCCCTCGCTGCACCTAGAGAAAAGCCTGTGCAGCACGAAGACCCAGCACAGTCTTAAAAAAAAAAAAAAAGATCAGGAAGGCAGGTGCACCCTCCTAGGGGCTTCCGTGGTGGCTCAGATGGTAAAGAATCCGCCTGCAATGCAGGAGACTTGAGGTGGGAAGGAAAGGGAGGTGCCTGAAGCTTGTCAGGTCAGCCCTCCCAGCTGTCGGGTGATTATAAAGATAGAAGCAAGAGAGCACACGCTGAAGACCTTGAATGAAACAAAGGGCTCTGAGAGTAAACCTCGTCTTCAGCCAAAGGACTACTTTCCTGCTGCCGGGGTTCTCATCAGAGGCCGTGTGTCTCCCTCAGGTGCCCAAAGCAATCCTCCCCCCCATCAGAAACTTGCTAATCTAATTTCTTCTTTTGCTTCGACTTTAAATTTAATAAAGGGAAATTCAGTCGCGTCCTCAGCCATGCGTCAGAATCAGTGATGCTACATTTATTTAGGGATCCGATACAGGTTCTCCATGCGGTAGAGAAATAGTAAAGCATGTTTGGTTTGTAATTTTGAGAATGTATTGGAAAATTAATTTCTGATTTCATTCTCATCTTGGCTAAGGAATCACAAAATTTCCTTAATGCGATTGTGTATTTTTACAACTCCACTACCCACCACTTGACTACAGATTATTAGGGTTTCATGGTGTATGGATGACAAAAATTAAGTTAGGTGAAGAAAGCGCAGTGTAGTCGTGTTTCTAAAAGCAATCGTCTTGAGAGGAAGCCTTTGCGCAGTGAGGGGCCCGTGTTGTTGACATCAGGCCTCCCTTGGTGAAGCAGCTGTGTACTGTCAACATAAACCATCTTTCGGGAGCAAAAAAAACGATGCAAATATTTAAGGCATTTATTTTATGTTAAAAGAAATATAGAAATATTATGGGAGATTATGCAAAGTGCTCATAGGAAAAACCTGAAGTCTGAAATAAACTTAACAGTTGATTCAAAATGTGTTTTTGCTGTCAAGATGTGAATTGGAGAATATCATGATTAAAACTCTTTTTTTTTCAAACAATGAATAAATATTTATGATAAGCTTGCAGAAGCAATTTGATAACAGGAGACATTTTATAAACCCAAAGGAGTGGACTTGGGTCCACTTGAAGATCCTTCTTGAAGCATCCAGTCCTAAGGTTGGCAGAGTAAACACAACCATATCCTTGGCAGCCTTCCCTGGTGTCTCAATGGTAAAGAATTAGCCTGCCAATGCAGGAAATGTTGGTTCGATCCCTGGGTCAGGAAGACCCCCTGGAGAAGAAAATGGCAACCCACCCAGTATTCTTGCCTGGGAAATCCCATGGACAGAGGAGCCCAGTGGGCTATATTCCATGGGGTCACACAGAGTCAGACAATGATTTAGCAACTAAACAGCAGTAACAACAATCCTCTCTTGGAACTTGCCACAGTTGATAGTATTCCCTCCGTACAGGGATGTTTTAGGAAATCCTCAATAAGAAATTTTGCATTATACCTTATGAATACAATCATTTATTTTCCCAGTACTTTTGTGTATATGGATTCAGTTGTTTTGACCTAGGGGGCTGTATTCTCTTGCAGGACACATTCTTCAAAGTCTGGAAGCCTTTTCAGTTCTTGTGACTTGGGGTGGGGGATTGTGCCTGGCATCTAGCAGGTAGAGACCAGTTGTTCTTATTTAGTTGCTAAGTCATCCTTGCAACCCCATGGACTGTGGCCCACCAGGTTCCTCTGTCCATCGACTTTCCTAGGCAAGAATACTGGGGTGGGCTGCCATTTCCTTCTCCAGTAGAAGCCAAGGGTGCTATTACTAAATAACCTTCAATGCACAGGACAACCCCCCAATGCCCCCCAAAAAAACTCTCCCTCCAAAAATTATTTCAGTCCAAAATATCAATAATACTGATGGGGAAAAAAGATTATTCTTATTAATATAGTACAGATTATAACACAAATGGTCTCTCTAAACTACTTCATATCTACTGATCATCTACAATCATGCCCAGATCTACCTATGTAATCTATCATATAAACGCAGCATCCTCCAGAATCACCACTTCAAAGAAACTCTCACACAAAGATTCCCAATAACAATGCCATTCATTTACTGCACACACTCTCCTGTTACCAACACCCCATGAAAGAACTAAAGTAAAGAGAAGGGAGAGGAAGCGGGTTACCTCTCGAACAGGACCTGGCTGTAGTCGTCCAGGAGGGGAGCGTGAGTGTGGAGGAAGATGGTGTTGTAGCCCACCAAGGCTGCCATCATGAGCAGCATCTTCAGCTCATAATTCACACGCAGGAAGACGGAACAGGAGATCAGCCCCAGGATGCAGCTGTATATAAAGTACTGGAACAGGGAAATACATCGGGTAAACACTGAGGATCTATTCTGAGGAATGCCGGAACGAGAATTAAAATTGGGGACCACCACCAAGCTCCCCGGGTCAATTCCCAAACTGACTGTGAAAGCAGATGCCTTTGTGTGCTCTTTGATCCAGTGGTAAATGACTAAACACACTGGATTTAAAAAGAATTCCTCACGGCATGGCTTGCTCACCCAGCGTAGCATGTTTAATAAAAATAATTGCGCATGTGGCCAAACACTTTTCAAAAAGAATTTTTAGAAATCTATGTTGAAGCCATGTCGTTATAAGCAGATGTCATTTGCTTCTTGAATGTGAAACAATATGACTCCCCACACATTTATAGATTAAAACAAAGTGATGGTCCACAGGCTCTTTCGTGGGCTTTCAATGATTTAATTCATTAAGGCGATACAGATCATCACAGGCGGTTCTGTTAACGGCGTAACAAAGCCCGGGGATCTTAGTAAAAGGGCAGTCATGTGTCAGAGGGATTATCTAGAATAAAAAGGCCTTCAGAAACTAAAAGTTCTGAACTACGTACACAACAGATGAGGAGCAAGAACCCACTGTGTAGCACAGGGTACTCTGCACAAGATTCTGTTATAACCTGTGTGAGAAAACAACCTACAACAGCATGAACATGTGCACATGGATAACCGATCCCTGTGCCGCACAGCTGAAACGAACACAACACTGCAAATCAGCTACACTTCAAAACAATTAAAATGTTAAACATTCTAAGGAGTTCACAGGCTTCACCAGACTGCTCAGGAATCTTTATGTGACATGAAGAATGACAACAAAGATGATTGAGAATAAATTAAAGCACCATATAAAGTAAAACAAAGCTTCTCAGTGGTAAAGAATCTGCCTGCAATTCAGGACACGTGGGTTTGATCCTCGAGTTGGAAAGATTTCCTGGAGAAGGGCATGGCAACCCACTCCAGTATTCTTGCCTGGAGAAACCCATGGACAGAAGAGCCTGGTGGGCTACAGTCCACGGGGGTCGCAAAGAGTCTGACACGACTGAAGCAATTGAGCACACACACAGAGTAAAACAAACAAACAGACAAGCTTTAACATATGTTGAAAATCAACTGGCCGTAGGTATGAGGGTTTACTTCTGAGCTCTCACTCCTATTCCATTGGTCTGTGTGTTTTTCCTTATGCTAGTTTCACATTGTCTTGCATACTGTAGTTTGACAGTAAAATCTGAAATTGAAAAACAAAAAACTAAAAGCTTTGAGCCTTGTCCAGGGGATCTTTCCTGGGGTTCAGGTGGTAAAGAATCCACCTGCAATGTGGGAGACCTGGGTTCAATCCCTGGGTTGGGAAGATTCCCTGGAGGAGGGCATGGCAACCCACTCCAGTGTTCTTGTCTGCAGAATTCCCCTGGACAGAGGAGTGGGCTACAGTCTGTGTGGGTCACAGAGAGATGGACACAACTGAGCAATTAAGCACACACAAAAACTTTGATCCCGGTGAGTCGTGAGTACCCTGGAAGTGGACAGGCACTCGAAGAAATTGAAGACCCCAGTGTGAGGAAGAGGCTGGGCATGGTCCATTTTTTGTGGTTCACCGAAGGTAGCAGGCAGGCCCGCCCTGTTTGAGCACTTTTCCATTAACCACAATGGAATTATCAAGAGAGCACAGCCCTGAATTCAATCATGTTCCAGCCACTCATCAGCTGAGTCACTTCAGGCCAGTGACTTAACTTGCCTGTGTCACTGTCCTCATCTGAAAGATGAGGGTAATAATGTCTTTGCTCTAGGTCACTGAGGAGAGCACACAATGCTTGGAGCCCACCGCCCTGCAGGCCAGGGGGTGCCCACCAAGTGGAAACGGTTTCTGTTCTCACAAAGCCTTTGTTTGCTGGATCAAGGGGCTTTAAGAAGGGTGAGCTACCATCTCAGCATTACTGCAGCAGAAGCAGCTCTCAGTAAAGTCGAATCATTTCAATAAAACAGATCCAACTGATGTTTGATAAATCCTGCCTTTAAGAAACAGCGCAGGGTGTAAGATGCTCCATTTTAGTTTCATTATAAGGGATACACCATGTATAAACTGCTTATTTTTGTCATTCTAGCTCTTTTATTTCCCCAGCTAAGGTCATTTACAGTCAGCGCTGGGTGAGAGTTGGTCTGTAAAGAAGGCTGAGCACAAACCAATTGATGCTTTTGAACTGTGGTGTTGGAGAAGATTCTTGAGAGGCCCTTGGACAGCAAGGAGATCCAACCAGGCCATCCTAAAGGAAATCAACCCTGAATATTCATTGGAAGGACTGATGCTGAAGCTGAAACTCCAATACTTTGGCCACTTGATGCGAGGAGCTGACTTACTGGAAAGGACCCTGGTGCTAGGAAAGACTGAGAGCAAAAGAAGGGGGCAGCAGAGGATGAGATGGTTCGATAGCATCACTAACTCAATGGACATGAGCTTGAGCAAACTCCAGGAGATGGTGAAGGACAGAGGAGCCCGGCGTGTTGTAGTCCACGGGGTCGTAGGGAGTTGGACACAACTTAGCGACTGAACAACAACAACAAGTGGGAAAGGCTACTGATATGAGTGCCTTAGTCCTGTTCTTGGGGAAGAAAGGAAAGTAGAAAAGACAGGCTGCAGTGTTCCCACCAGTGTTCTCCCTTCCCAGTGAAGGGCACTCATGCAGTATCAATGCAGATCCCCACCTGTGAGAACTGAGATCTGGCATCTCAGCTTCAGGAGGAAGACCAGCGATTAACTCCCTGTGGCCCCACAATAACTGGGTCAGTCCTTGGGAAGGAAAGCACTCCTCGGCTGGGGGCCACGACAGGCGGCAGCAGGCCTGGAAAGGCTGAAGGTCTGTCAGCACAGTTTCTTTGGCCACAATGAACTCATGGCAGTTCTCCACTGTTCTGACCACTGACCCCCCGAACGACAGAGAACAGGGAGAGGAAAGGAGCCCAGGAAATAAGTCCTGATGGGCCAGTCAAGCTGGTGGAGAGGAATCGTGGAATCTGGAGTCTGGGAGAGAGAAGGGCTTCCCTGGTAGCTCAGCTGGTAGAGAATCTGCCTGCAATGCAGGAGACCCCTGTTTGAGTCCTGGGTCTGGAAGATCTGATGGGGAAGGGATAGGCTACTCACTTCAGTATTCTTGGACTTCCCTGGTGGTTCAGCTGGTAAAGAATCTGCCTGCAATGTGGGAGACCTGGGTTCAATCCCTGGGTTGGGAAGATCCCCTGGAGAAGGGAAAGGCTACCCACTCCAGTATTCTGGCCTAGAGAATTCCATGGACTATATAGTCCAAGGGTTTGCAAAGAGTCAGACATGACTGAGCGACTTTCACTTTGGGTACTTATCACTTTTGGGAGAGAGGACGGGCACCACTGACTCAGTCTCCCTAAAGCAAAGGGTGAGGGGGCCTGGGCTTTGAGACCAGCCTCATTTGTGGGCACTTTGCCGTTATTACCTTGTTGTTCAGTCGCTCAGTCATGTCCGACTCTTTGTGACCCCATGGACTGCAGCACACCAGGCTTCCCTGTCCTTCACTATCTCCCATAGCTTGCTCAAACTCATGTCCATTGAATCAGTGATGCCACCCAACCATCTCATCCTCTGCCGTCCCCTTCTTCTGCCCTCAATCTTTCTCAGCATCATGATCTTTTCCAAGGTCTTTCCCTTTTGCCACCAGGGCCTTTTATTACCTTAAGGACTTAAATTACTTAATTATGTACATGCTTAATGAGCAAGTATTGTCCTTAGAGGGCAGGTGTGAGGCTCAGTCCTGGGACCGCCTCTCAAAGCAGCTCAGGGAGCCCTCCAACTGGCTGAGGGTCCTCAGGGGGCCTGCTTGCCTGTGGGCATGTGCCCAGCAACCCGACCAGGCAGGTGTCTTTCTGGTGAATCAAACAAAACATGGGCTTGTACTTTGTATGTTTTCTTTTTTTTTTAGTTCATTTTGGGGCTCATTCACTATTAGAGTTTTCAGGTGTATCTGTCCTTACCAAGAGTTTGAGAATCATTGGTTTATAACCTGCTCTTTAGTCAGCAGCCATGGCTGTCTTACAAAACTGCTCCATAAAAGCCATGAAATCACCTGGCACCTGGCAAGGTGCCCACTCGGGGTCTCACCCTTCCACTCACAAAGGAGCTCAATGGTACAAATAATCAAAGGCATGCTTGTCCCCTGAAGAGGTGACTCAAGGTAAGGAGGATGACAATGCCGACCTTGACGAATTCCTGTGAAGACTGAAGAGTATAATGAAGGTAAACATCACAGAGCAGCGCCTGGTCCATGTGAAGCCATATAAATTGTGCTTTTATTGTTATAAAATGGGGCTGTTTGTAAGATTTGATTTAAAAAAGGATTTTGCTGATAAAATTATGCTGAAAACAATTACTATAACTCAGGTTTTTGATAGTTCAGCCTAAGTGAATGAGAAGCGGAATTTGTTGTTGTTCAGTCAGTCAGTCAAGTCCGACTCTTTGTGACCCCATGGACTACAGCATGCCAGGCTCCCCTGTCCTTCACCACCTCCTGAAGTTCATTCAAACACATGTCTGTTGAGTCGATGATGCTACCCAGCCATCTCATCCTCTGTGGCCCCCTTCTCCTCCCGCCTTCAATCTTTGCCAGCATTAAGGTCTTTTCCAGTGAGTCAGCTCCTTGTATCAGGTGGCCAAAGTATTGGACTTTCAGCTTCAACATCAGTCCTTCCAGTGAATATCCAGAGTTGATTTCCTTTTGGACTGACTGGTTTGATCTCTTTTCTGTCCAAGGGACTCAAGAGTCTTCTCCAGCACCACAGTTCAAAAGCATTGGTTCTTTGGCGCTCAGCCTTCTTTATGGTCCAGCTCTTACATCCATAAATGACTACTGAAAAAACCATAGCTTTGACCACACCATCCTTTGTCAGCCTAGTGATGTCTCTACTTTTTAACACACTGTCTAGTGTTGTTATAGCTTTTCTTCCAAGGAACAAGTGCTTTATGAACAAGGCATGTGGATGGCTCTGAGGTAAATCCTCCTTCCAGGGGTTGATGGACCAGGTGTGCTAACGACATCCATCCAAAGAGAAGGAGCCAGACGACACAGACGGTTTAAATCTTTCTTTAAAGAAGAGGGCTCCAAACTGCCCATGGTGAGGTCACAGCTAGTAAACCCTCACTGTGAATCTCATCCCTCATGTAACTGAAATAGAAAAGATGCTGCCCAATCCTTACTGGGTTCACAGTACTGCTGAAAATGAAGGCCAGGACCCCAAGGAAAAGGGGTGAAGCTTATGTTGCCCTCTCTTCCTGAGCCTGGGGGGCCCTGTTATGGACTTTGGACAGCTGGCCTCTGAAACAGCCACGGCTTAAAGAGCACCAGATGCCCCTACTCTCAGTACACAGGCCTTGAGCATCCCCCAAAATTGAAATGGTGAGATGGGCGAAAGGATCAATGCTTAATATCAAGGGGATAAATCAACAAAAGGAAAATGAAGAAAGAAGACTTTATTGCTATAGTTGCTGGAGTTTAAGAAACTGGTAGGAAAAATTTAAAAATATACATCTTAAATGACCAATTTCCATAAGTCTGGAATAGTTCATCTAGCACTCTTGAAGCTATGGGAGACAAACTAAATGTATGTTACTTTGAGATGATTATTCAGAAAATCAAAAGAAGAGTATCAAAATCATTTTTTTGCTCACGAAATTCATAGAAGAAAGAAGTCACTGAGCAGTAAATAACCAGTTGAGATCTTTTCACTTAAAAAGACTGATGTGTCAGTAAGTTTTGAAGTTCAACCTAGGCCCTTCTGGACCTTGGTTAAAATGGGTCGTTAGTAAGGATTATTTGAAGATATAATCACTGGATGGTATTTGCAGCCAAAGAAGAAGAAATACGACCCAGTCATATTTCGAACCCAGTCATCACAGAGACAGGAAGCTAATTCACGGAGCAACTAGTGAAATCTATAAGCAACACATCCAGAAATTCAGTGACATACAACTGAAAGCTACATGCTGGGGTGCATGCTATAAAATGTCATGTCAAGATAAACTGGTGCAGTCACTATGGTGAACAGTATGGAGGTTCCTCACAAAACTAAAAATACCACATGGTCCAGCAATCCCACTCCTGGGCATATATCCAGACAAAAGTATAATTCAAAAGGATACATGCACTATTTATAGTAGCCAAGACATGGAAACAACTTAAATGTCCATCCATAGGTGAATGGATAAAGAAGATGTGGAATACTCCTCAGTCATGAAAAGGATGAAATAATGCCATTTGCAGCTATAAGGATGGGCCTAGAGATGATCATACCAAGTGAAGTAAGTCAGACAGAGAAAAACGAATACCATGTGCTGTCACTTATATGTGGAATCTAAAATACAACCGGAATGAACTTACCTACAAAACAGAAACAGACTCACAGACATAGAATCCTGACTTATGGTTGCCAAGGTGGGTAAGGGTTACATTGGGAGTTTGGGGTCGGCAGATACAAACCAGTATGCACAGAATGGATAAACAACCAAGCCCTATTGTATAGCATTGGGGATTATATGCCACATCCTGTAATAAACCATAATGGAAAAGAACGTATATGTAATAAACCGTGATGGAAAAGAATATATATATGTAAAACTGAATCACTTTGCTGAACACCAGAAACTAACACAATGTTGTAAATCAAATATAAGTCAGTAAAAAGATAAACACATAGCATTAAGAGAATAAAGGCACAAAGTCATCTGTGAGAGCTTCAAAATGCCATGGAAACTTTGTACATGTGGTCTAGTCAGTTTCTACTGGCTGGGAGTTTTCTATCAAAGGCTGGCAATTTTTACTCTTGTCCTGAGTCAGGACAGACTCAGGTATGGAATCTAAACAAGGAGAATAAAGTCTACAGCGGAAGAGGAAGTGAAGGCACGCCATTCACACAGGAAAACAATAAAAACAATAAGAACCAGGGAGATGTGCTTACCGGCAGGAAAAACAAATTTTGTGCACGCAGAATTGCTGCCTGGTTACTTGCGGCAGAAAGACTCATGTTGGACACGTTGGCAGTCGGAAGAATTGTTTCCTCTGAGTCACTCAGGAAAAACTGCAAAGAAAACGTTGCTTCGATGAATCAGTGCAAAGGAGAGTGAAGGGTTAGCAGGTGCGGGCTCAGCTTACTAACGCTAGGTTTCTTTGGCTCATTGAGCAGTGTTGTGGGGACTGTTCAGCCTCTTTACTTCCAGTGCTAATCCCTTCATCTTCTCTTTGAGGCTTTGGAAATCTCTATCGAGTAAGTAAGGAACTCTTGCTGTGCTCCTCACTGCACAGTGAATTCCAGAGCTACTGGACTGATGTTAGGGAAAACAGAAGCACCTCTGTTAAATGGGAATTTTAAAATGAACCAAGCACAGGGAAGAGAGCTTGGTTAGGATAACGTTGGAGGTTGTCATAGCCACCCTCACACAGTCAACCCTCCATCACGAGATGGGAGTCTTCACCCTGTGTTTTTGCAGTGTCTTCATCATCATCACCAAATACATCAGTGGAGTCCTCTGAATTTTGTATCTTAAGAAAATAAATTAATTTTATGGGAAGAATGCAATAACTGACACCAACATTTGCCTCTGCCATTTGTGAGTGCTTGGCAGCTCAGGGTCATCAGGGGGTAAAATGGGAGAGAAAGGATGCTCTCAGGACTACTGCAAAGGGGGTCTTAATTAAAAAAGGAAGCAATCCTGAGAAAATAAATATGATTAGCTCTTATAGGGGCCTCCCCATTGGCTCAGCAGTAAAGAATCTGCCTACAAAGCTGGAGACGCAGGTTTGATCCCAGGGTCAGGAAGATCCCCAGGAGAAGGAAATGGCAACCTATTCCAGCATTCTTGCCTGGGAAATCCCATGAACAGAGGAGCCTGGAAGGATACAGTCCATGGGGTCACAAAGAGTCAGACACGACGTGTGACTAAACAACAATAGTGGGTACCAATATCAGCACTCAGAAGGAAAGGGTCAGTCCGTTAGCAAGGTAGGAAAAATTCAGTCTCTTTCTCCCTGTTTCTCTCTCTCATCCGCTCTCCTCTCTGTCTCTCTCTTTCCTGGAGAAGCTGCAATACAGGTTGCTTAGGATCAGTCACTTTCTGTCCTGTGACTGCAGGTCAGACAACTGTTCAGTGAAGATAAAGCAGAAAATTGCGGGCCAGGTTCCCTGATGAAAGATATCCATCTCTTCCATGAAACTAGGCTAGGCTTTCTGCACAGGGCTCACCGTCCACACTCAAGGTCTAGAGAATAAACGTCCCTGCAGTTTCTACCGCTGCTTTTGTTTGTTTCCCCTTGCTTGTCCCTTTGATGGCGGGCTTCTTGTCAAAGACCTCCAGCAATTTACTTAGGTAAATAAGAAGGCATTTGTTTAATACATCCTTGAGAACATTTCCTCTCAGATTCCAAGGACGGTTCTAGATACAGTGCTTCTGCCCGTTATATATTTTGATACAATGCTGCAAAATACAGACTAAAAAGTCAAATAAATGTAGATTTCTTTATTTATGAATTGTTGTTATTTGGTCGCTTAGTTGTGTCCGACTCTTTGCGACCCCATGGACTGCAGCATGCCAGTAGATATTATTATTTACTATTAATACTAAATAATTTATCAAAAATTTCAGAAACCCTGGATGAAATATAAATGTGCTGATTATTTGGAAAAAACATAACAGGAAAAAAATGGAGTAATTGTTGGCCAAATATAAGACTCCAAAATGTAAAAATTTAGATTTGACAGACCCAACATGCATTTGATTTAAATACTAAAGGAAATGACAAATAGAAGGAAACCATTTAGAGTGATAGGTTCCTAGTCTCAGGAATCTAAGATCTTAAAATAATTAAAGAAAAACCCTTCTTAATTATATCAGCTTATAAAGAAGAAAAGAAATGAGTGATAATATATCCTGTGCAAGCTTTGTCTTGCAAGGAGGCTCTGCAATAGTAGGATGGTTGAGCTTGAAAAACAGCAGAGAACTTTAATCACCACATTCAGGAATGCTTCGTTAACCCCCTTCAGCTACTTTTTTCTAGTGTTTAATTAGCTATCCATAAAATCAAGACCTCTTCGTTCTGTTTCTGTGGCTTCACACTGCAGTTTGGAACCAACTTTCCTCTTCTGTCTCCTTAGCCACTTTAAAATAACAAACTCCTAATTACAGCCAGGCCAAACATGTGGATGTTATCAATCCACATCCCTCTTCCTGCTGGGTTAAGGTGCCACAGTTTTCTGCACAGAATGCATTTCTAATTTCATAATTATTTGGGGAAACTCCTCTCTGGACCTATTTTAGTATTTCTACAACCTTTGTCCTAGTTGGGAAAATAGTATTCTTATCCTGGACAAGATATCCCAATTAAGTGCATATTTTTAGCCCTCCTTCTAAATGTTACATTTCCCAGACAATGTAAAGCATCTCAGAATTGTCTTTCAAGTAATATGAAATTGTGAACATGCAATTTAAAACTGTGTTTGTGCCTGATAACATCATTGCTTTTCATTTGGTTGGAGTTAGAAGTAACTAACCAATTAGAATTAGAATATCAATTAACCACTAGTTAACCATGGCCAACTCTGCATCTAGGTGGTTCACAAAGCTGAGCTATTTATAATTATTCTCTGGGCCGTTTCTCGGAAAAGGTGCAAAATTATGTGAGGCATCACGTGACAAAAGTGTCAAAATGTCAGAAAAAAATGGCAGAGGATTTGAGCTTCTCAGACACGGCTCTGAATGGCCAGCTGGGAACTAAAATGGAACAACACACAGGTCTTTTGCAATTTGATACCCCAAACCCCATATGTGGGAAAAAAAATCAGGATAATTGATTGATTTTCTCTACCTTTTATTGGAGTGTGATATTTAAAATATCCTGGTAATATCTCACAATTCATTTTAAATAAAGCTAACCTGGACATTTTGTCATTTATGTTAGTATGTGCATGCATGCTAGGTCACTTCTGTCATGTTCACCTCTTAGCCACACTCTGGACTGTGTCAGGCTCCTCTTTACAGGGGATTCTCCAGGCAAGAATACTGGAGTGGGGAGACATGCCCCCTCCAGGGGATCTTCCCCACCCAGGGATGGAACCTGCGACTCTTATGTCTCCTGCGTTGGCAGGCGGGTTCTTCACCACTAGCACTACCTGGGAAGCCCACGTTAGCGTGTAATGAGAGGTAAAAGAACACTGTTCCTGTTGATCCTGGCTCTTATAAAGGCTCTGAGACTTCAGCTTGGGAGAAACATTAGTGACTGAAAATCCACACGGAGGCTCAGCATGGAAGGGCCCGTCCACAAAGTCAGGAGCAGAGGGAGCTGGCAGGGGGCCTTGGTCCTCACATCACCCCTGCAGCTTCTCTCTCCCGAGGGTAAGAAGGTGATGGAAGGTGATGAGAGAAAAGCAGTTATAAGGGCTGTTTTCCACTGGCTGGAAAAATCCAGGGCAAACCAGGAGTTTTTCCCTGCTGTGAAGGGACTGGGCATCAAAGAGAAAATGAGAACCTTAAACGCGTTATCCGAAGTGAAATGAGCCAGACACAAAGAGACTACTAGCGTGGCATCTCACGTGTGTGAGGTTTTCTAGGACAGGCAAGCTCACCGCAGCAGAAAGCAGAGTAGAGGCTACCAGGGGCTGGGGGTGAGGGGGAGTCACAGTTCACGGGAGCAGAGCTTCTGTGCGAGAAGACGGCGAAGTTCTGGAAACAGAGAGGCTGAGGGGAGCACACAACTGCAAATACACTGAATGCCCCGAACGTACACTCAACCATGGTTAAAATGGTAAACTTTGTTATACATATTTTCCCCAAAGGAAAAACAACAAGCACTGAAGACGGAAAAAGACGGGGGGAAAAGGAAAGCATTTTTTCCTTTACCCTAAAAGAACACTCCAACATCACAGGAGCCACAGAAGAGGGTCTGGATGTGCTGTGATTTTAAAATGATGGCCTGCCCTGAACAGAGAACTTCTTCCCAGTGACTTAGGGCTTCCCCGGTGGCTCAGTGGTAAAGACCCCAACTGCCAACGCACGATAAGCAGGAGACGTGGGTTCAATTCCTGGGTCGGGAAGATCCTCCGGAGGAAGAAATGGCTACCCACTCCAGTGTTCTTGCCTGGAGAATCCCATGGAGAGAGGAGCCTGGCAGGCTACAGTCCATGAGGTTGCAAAGAGGTGGATATGACTGAGCGACTGGGCATGCACACACCCAGAGCCTTAAGGAAAGCCTGCTCAGGAAGGCAGCTCCTCCCCTAGGCCCTGAACAAAAGAGCTGCTCTTCCCCTGGGAATGTCAGTCCAGAGCCTGGATTCGCCTCACTGGGTTAATCACTGCCAACAAATAGCAAAGCTGCAACTTGGGAGTAGGGCTGTTAGTCTAGAAATTGTACTCTTAAAAGAAGTACCAGGATAAGTTTAAAAGCTCTACTGCATTAAATAGTAGCCTCCCTAGGATGGAGATTTTTCAAGTGGGTCTAGGGAAAAAAAAAGCACAGACTTACCGCTGAGAGCATCTGACCACATACAGGTAAAGACTGGTACCCACCTCCCCAGGGAGAGGAGCCATCTTTCCTGAACGTGAGTGAGGGGCCTGAGCCCACTTCCCTTGCCTGGCACCCTCTGGTGATGCGTGTGACCCCAGCGAGGTCACAGCACCCTGTAGTGTGGCTGGGAACACCGGGCCTTGTGTCTGCCTCATGCAGTCAAAACTCAAGTGGTTAGGGATCTAGCAGCTGGAGAACACTTCTCTGTAAGTCATCAGATGTGATCAAAGACAGCACCTGATGGACCAGTCCTTTCCGTGATGAATAAGAAAACCCACTAACTGGGGAAAGTGCTTCTCTCTACCTAATGCTGGATTTTGTACTGTTTTGTGATATTTCCTTGAAACAAAAATAAGAGCCTCTGGATGGGGAAGAACCACTAAATTCATCAGGTATCAAGAAAGATAATGGACAGGAGCAAGGAACTTAAGTCTGTTCCTGCTCCAGAGGCTCTAGTCCTACCAGAGGCAGCCCAGTGCACCGAGCTTCATTTCATTCTTCCTCAAAGCTGATCCATCAGACGTT